ATATAATTTTTTCAGGTCTCCCAAATAGTTTTTAGTGCATCCATTTATACTCCTAAGTGGAAGAAAGGCAGAGTATCATAAAAAAGAAAACAGCACAATGAGCTCTCGATCCTGAGTACAAAACGCCAACTCAACAGCACACTATTCCTGTTCTATCCCTTTTTTACATACTCAATATTTCAAGCTTTAGATTTAGACATTTCGTTGGAGAAGGTATCGTAGGTTAGGTCAAAGAATATCTGAGGTAATTGACTGGAATAAAATCGCCTCGTTACCTTAGTCATCTTAATGTTGTTAGGTTTGGGGTGATCTTTATCCGTTCCGCTGATCAGCAATCTGAAAAATGCGTCAAACTTCTTGCGACTGTCGCCGTTTATAGTGCCGCCAATGGACCAAACCATGGCAAAGATAAACAGACACTGGAGCCAGCTGGTGATCTATGAACAAATGAATGAGGCCGTAAAAACGGTTGTGTGAAAAAATCTATTATAAAACGCAGGATCCTATGTGAAGGGTTCTGCATAATGACGCCAAAAAGAATCCGCGTCACGTCGCAGAAAATAAATCTCCACATCAAACTTTTAAAGTCAAACAAAATTTCGGATCCATGTCGGTATCAGAGTAGCTGCGCACCTACCCCTCCCATAACCCAACGACAGTCTACTGATGACAAGTTAGGGTCAATGTTGGAAGGGGGGGGGGGTTGGTGTGCAGTTGCTCAGACACGGACATTTATCCCAAACGTTTCACTGACTAACCTACGCCAGGCAAATATCTCTCAAAATAACAGGCATGTCTCGATCCTTGATGTATGTGTAACTAACAGAAACTGCCGAAGATATCACGCGGTTTCATGTAAAGTAGTGTCGTATTGCAATGTATACAATGCCAATAGTAGCGCCGGTCTTGCATTAGGTATAAATTACTGCTACAAAGATTTTCCAATTGTCAAAGCGCGCCACACCAAGCAGTTTCTACACGGTTGCCGTTCGCGTGACAAAAACGTGTGTGCGTGTCATGTCACATGACGTGACTCGAATCAAGTTAGCTCACGTCACGTCACTAAGATAACAACACCCTCAGTTTATGTCAGGTCATCATGTACACACCTGTGAGCTTGACATTCTGTCAGCGCCTTCAGCTTGATCTTGCATAGCGATTTCATCCAACAAACACGTGTACAGATTCATAAAGGAATTCACAAGATGCATGTTGGACGTATTGATGAAAAACTTGCACTCGCGGCGGAGAAAGGCTGGAAAATAGAAACAGGTTGTTCAGGGGGGGGGGCGGTAGAAAGTGGAACTTGATTTTTTTTTTTTTTTGTAAAAAGAGGGTTTCATGAAGTTCGACGGGAATTAATGTTTTTCATAGTGCAAGTGAACTTGGAAGGAGATAGGTCTGGGTGCTGTCTTAAATTAATAAATCTTTTGAAGATCTTATATCAAACTCGTAAGAAATTCGCGTAGCAATCCTAATATACTGTCATGCTGATAAGTATTAAGAGTGAGGATAATCACCAACTAGGGTGTTACTGTTTGCATACCACACCCAATTCTTCGGTCAGGCCAACACAGAAATGTATAGTTATGTGTAAACAGTTTCAGGATTCGGGTTTGAATGCTGCCATCACTACTTACACAAACATGGATGTACAAGCCACATGAACAAGGCCCTGATGGTTTCCAAATGCTCCGCATTCAAGCTCTTAGGAAGCGTGTTCATGTAAGAATCCATCAGTGGTTCCCAGCCAAGCTAAAATAAAGTAAAGGATTTAACATATGAATCACCCGCAAAAACTAACAGGGAAGACCCCAGTGGAGAAGATAACCATGGATTCGTCCTTTTTTATTTTTTTTTTCCTTGAAAACAAGAACTAACACTTTTCTCGTTTGATACCTTGTTTGAATGATCGTAGAGTGAGTTTTTTTTTTACTTTCTCGTTAAAATTGTTCCAAATGGATGGACCTCAGAATGGCAAGTTATGCTTTACTAACAAATTTCCACTTCTGCGATTCATCCATTGGGAACAATTTGACTCCTTCCTCAAAACTTAGAATGTCACTGATTGGACAAGACACTTGTCTCGAACGAATTGGAGTACTGCCCTACTGCGCTGCAACCATAACTTTTCTAGGTAAAACTTTCATCGAAAGCTTGCTAGTTTAGAGTCCTTTCCAGAGTGTATTTAGTAACAGTGCTAGCTCTGTGATTGGTCAAGAAAAACTCGTGCAACCCTCTCAACCAATTATGTGCGATTTGGTCGCTCGCGTTTTCCCGCGCTACGGGCAGTTCGTTTGTTTCTACTCTAAGCTCTCAATGGCTCTTTAAGACATTTTCCTTCACTTGGATTGGCTGCTGTGATCACTTTGGGAATAGAAATGACTCTAAATCAGCACTAGGTGTGAGAGTTAAACATTTGCATGATTCTTACTTGGTGAGGTTCAAGGTAGATCATACCACAGCGACTGACTGTAGCAGGAGAAGCTTGCTCCAGGTCTGCGGGCTCAAATATCAAACTCTGTTTGTTGTTCATTTGGATGATTTCACCACTCATCAAACATAACTGAAAAAAAAATGCCATCACTGTATGAGCTTGCGAGACAATGCAAGAAAGAAGAAGGTAAAAACGTGGGTTCCATTTTGCATCCATTCTTCCAAAATACACACACACACACACACAAAGGGCAATGCCGATCAAGTCTATATACGCTTTGAAATACTCTAAGGAAAAGTGATAGATTGAAGGAGAAGTGGAGCTTTCAACCCCTATGTCACCACTCCACCACAATGGCCTGCATAATGCCATTGTGCCTTGTGGCATTCAACGCAGAATATCCGTGACGGCGATGAAGTAAATTATATCTGGATACGTACTTTCTTGTTGTCGTCTAACACAGTATTCATGTTCTCGATCCACACAGCATCTACTGGCCCATCAAAGATCAACCATTTCCTGTCCTCTGTAGTGGACGACGCGTGCTCTCTAAAAGAGTTGGCTAGAACACCATCTGACCACTCATGGGAGACTGGGTCAAAGCAGCCATACAATTCACCCATGCTTATAGACTTTGGATTGATGATCTTGTAAATCACCTGTGGGTAAAGATATAAGTGAAATGATGTTCTTGAACGATTTTGGTGTAAATTGTCTCTGTTCAGCTGCTAACCAGTTTAGGCCCACAAATTTGACCATTTTAAGATGTCTGTCATAAAAATTTGCGGATTTAACTGGCTCAAGGTCGATTTAGGCTAATAATCACCATCTACGATAGAACTACATGACTTGTACTTTCTCTGCGGCGACAGTCACATACAAAAAAACACTGTTGTAGAGTTTTGGAAATGCTTCAAGACTGTAAAATGATCTAGCCATCGTAAATGTCGCTTAAATTGTCATGACGGTCAGGGACAAAAAGCAACAGGGCTGAAAGCGATGAACGCGAAATTTAAAATCTTGAATTGTTTGTGTGAAGTTGTCATAGACCTGCTATATGGACCAAAGAGGCTGCGAATAGAAATTGACCTCAGGGAAGTAAAGTACTGGTTAAAAAAAACATAAATGCTAAAGAAAAACAAAACATGTTTCAACACCCATCAGTCTCGATAAAGGCACTGAAAAAATATACTGGACGAAGCTCTCGTACTGTTATATGGGGCATACCTTTTGATACGGATATCCTGCTTTGTTGAGATCTGACATCGCATCAGACAGCACCTAAGGAAAACATCACGTGATCACCTCTTACGTTATCGGCCATTCCTACTCTATTACAAGTCGGTAAATAGAATATGTGTTAGGGCTTTAAACGTGTCCACAACCACGAAACCTGGAGTCATGCTTAATTCTTACCTTGAACGCCATTGTCTTTCCTCCGAGTGGATCTCCAACTATCATAAAACCATGTCTGACGATCATCATCTCGTAAACCTAGAAACACAAAATTACGTACAGCTTAGATCATGATGATCACCCTTTAGAGTACAATTCATTATCGGAATGTACAGCGACAGCAAAGGCTTTCACGAGTATTGAATACGTCAACGAGAAACTAAGGTCAACAAGTTGCGGCTTCCATTTTTTTATTTTCAAATACAGCACTTTCCTTCTGTGCGTCGAAAATCAAACATATTCTCAACAGTTCATCAGTTCAAAGTTTGATTTGTTCACCTGAATCAACGAGATGATGATTTTTCAACTCTTATAACTTAATGCGCCAAGAGGCCAATGAGATTTCAAAATAAGATGGGTAAACAGCCGTAAGCGCGGGTAAACTCCGGGAAGAGATCACGTTTGGTTTCAATTTTGGATCTCACTAGATGAGAGGGTGGCGGAAGTTTCCTGAACCATTCTCAGAATTTAGTAAAGCAAAATTAATGTAGTCTTACATTACATTAAGGAACCACTTTGTCGTTGATGTACACTATCAAGAGCTTACCTGAATGATTTTCTTAAGGAACCACTTTGTCGCCTGTAAATTACGAATCTTGCAGTTCTCTCTGAGAGCGTCCATCAAAACTCCGTAGTCGGGGTTGGGCCAACTAGTGCCGGGAAACAAGTCCGAGATGATTCCTTCGAACAGAGGCACATCCTGCAATACAAAAGGAAGGAGTTCAACGCACCGGCCTCTCGGCCACAGTCTCCAACTACTGACTCTCAAACCAAAACCAAAACTTAAGAACATGCCGCCGGGCTGATCAAATTGAGTAGCAAAAAGTAATCGATCAACAAAAAACTCTACCTGTGCCAAGAACTTGGCAAGATTGACCTCCAATACAGCTCTTAACATAAGCTCCCCTTCATCATCGTCTGGATAACGAAGCTTGAGATTCCCAGCAGCAGTAAGCACAGACTTAACAGCCCTCATGCCATAGTCATAATGAGACTGGGACGAGAGCTGTTCTGAACACAGCTGATACGTAGCTACGATCTTCTGTGCCAAACTAAGAAACATCAAAACACAACCTACCTCAGTCACAGTCAAAGAAGATAAATTAACCAACCCATTTTCACACGGAATGATGGAGCACCAAGCCTCGTTTTGAAAAAGAGGCCAAATATTATTATGAGATGGATTATTGAGAACTTTAGGGCCTTACTTAAGTAATGGTACAGCACGCCGCGTGTTATAACATCATATTTGTCACAGAGTACACCTAAGCAGAGGAGAGAACATTACCTTCTTGCGTCCAAGAATCCCATGGAATAGAGGGAGATTTCACTGATTAATGCATAGTCAGGAACCATCATCGCCACAGTGCGGAAAAGAACCTGAGGAAAAGATGACATTAATTGATAACCCATAGAAATAACGGAAATATTGCGCTTACTCCAATTGGTTCAAAACCTATCGATTATTGTAACGGCAAACTAATGGGTATTTCAGAAATCAAGAGAACACACTATCGGTATACCGGACGGATGTAAAAACCCCACTTGGCTGATGACTGAACACGAAAAAATTTTGTAAATCACCAGCTAGGGGCTAAAACAAAAGGTACTGTGCAATCCTACACAGACCACGGACGTCAGTTACAATGGTGGAGACAGTATACGTGACTGGTCCTGTTCTCTATAAAGTCACGCGACGCTGTCCCAACTTGAGCGTTGCACGACGTCGCAAAACACGGCTGAGAAGGAGACTAAAAGTCACCTTAACAATAAAAAAGCTCACGAGCTCAACGACAAGGTACCTTGAGATTATCGGGAAGCTCCTGCCGCCCTGCATAGCCAGGGTTCATCGTGATAAACATTGTGCACGTTGGATTGAGAACAAGTTCTGTTCCTTCGAAGATAAACTTCGCCTTTCTGTCTGCAATGGCTTTCTGAATCGTATGAATCTGTTGCGCTACTACAGATAACACCTGTTAAAAATACATTACAGTAACCCATTACACCCTATGATCAAAACGGATATTCTCCACACTATTCTCTATACATTTCTCCGGTTTTACTTCATTTTGTTGTCGTTTTATTGTCGGTGGATAGCTTTAGTATAATTTAACATAATTCTGTTTCACAAACCACTTTTTACGAATAAATTGTACGCTTCGCGTAATTGTTTTGAAACGTTGCCAGTGCCAGGACCAGCAAAACAGTGCAAACTCTTGCAACGCCACAAAATACAAACAAATAAACAGTACAATGTGGGGCTTATTGGCTGGGAAAAAGTTTTCAGGACTACAAGTATTTCCAGGTTATAAGCAATAACACAGATAAGCTCACCTCAAGTTCGATTCTGTTGAACTCGTCAAAACAGGCCCAACACCCCGCCTGCGCTAATCCTTTGAAGAATTTACCCATGGCTTTGTAGTCGAGGCCGTCAGAACAATTGAAAACCACGCACTTAAAATAGAGAGAAAAGTTGTAACATAAGGATAAACCCTTATCATTTGAAAAATGTATGTTACACAGAAAAAAACAAACATACAAACAAACCTGTTTTGCCACAGCCTTAGCCAGATCCTTGCAGGTTTCGGTTTTACCTGTCCCAGCAGGCCCCTCGGGAGCGCCACCAAGATTGAGTTTAATGGCGCCCATCAGAGTTCTGTGAACACAAGCGCAGAGTTTGCTTAGTACCAAATAAAGAGAATACAGAAGAAAATCTGGCTTCTCTCTTTGTAACTTGACAGTTGACCAGAAACTCAGCTGGATACCACATGCACTGGAAACCAAAAACATGCTTTGCTAACGAACTGAACTTGCTGCGAAGCGATCCTGATTTCTCCCAAGGGATGTATTCAAAGAATTTTATTTTAAAGTAATTTTGACTTCTGTAAAAATACGGTTTAGTTCTGTGTTATGTCAATACCTACCTGTAACATCTGTCTGTGAGAGGTGTGATCACCAAACGACCACTGTTACCAAGGTATTCATATCCATAGTCAATACTGGTTGTTATCATTCGCACTATGGTCTTCCTATCTTCAAAGTAATATCTAAGCTGTGACAGCCACTGGAAATCATTTGCACTGTTGACTCCATCTTGGTACATCTTTGCCACCACATCACGAGCTGATAATGCCAATCAATAATCAATAATTGGATAGCAAGTTACAGTAAAGTACATCTCTAGAACCACCCCTCCGGCCTCCAGCCCCCGACAAAGCGTTAAACCAATCAGAAACAGGCTTGGTAAAAGACGATGATATCTGAACTAGTTAGTTTACCGATGATGTCACCATTACCAGGTTATTGTCATGTTTGGGACGGCAAAATTCAGATAAGTAGAAAAAGGTGGCACTGTGGTACACAACCAGTCAGAACAATCAGAGAAGATAATTATGCACCACGTGGTAAAGATACTCTCCTCGGATTGGTAGTGTAGCATGGTGCCCCCTTATACAATCAGAGAAGATAATTATGCACCACGTGGTAAAGATACTCTCCTCGGATTGGTAGTGTAGCATGGTGCCCCCTTATACTAGTCATATTGCCTTTTTTGAAAGAAGGAAACCTCATGAAACAGTTTGGTAAGGTAGCATGATGCAACCCAAACTGAGGATGCTTGACGATGGAGGTAAAATGGAATGGAAGTAACAGTTCGTTTAGCCTTAATATTCCCATAAGTAGAAACGGATAACTGAATTACTTACCATGCACATCAATTACAGTGAGCGCGCCAAGCGTGATCCTGATACCAGAATCCAGTTTCCCTCGGACAAGGGCAACAATGGTTTCAATTTGAGAATTAGACTTGGCAAGGTAATCCTAAAAAGATTATAAAACATAAGACTCAGTCAACGACTGGTAGAAGGTCGTAACATCTGTTGCGTGGATTATAACAACAGTAAGCAGTCTCCGCTGAAGTTCTGGTCACAGCAGCGCGGAATAATCAATAGGGACCTTAAGCTGTCAGGACGGCAACGCCAGGGAAGACTTCGATTAAAAAATGAATTTCTGCCTTTAATTAAAATTTCAAAAATGACTGCATGTGTCTACCGTCTCATACGGCGACACACCTCAACTTGAGCAGAAGGTATAATAGGAGCGTTGAGTTCCAAACGGAAATTAAAATAATTTGCCGTCGCGGTTTCCGTTCGCAGACGACGTAAATTTTGGCGATTTCACGTTGTTGTTTTGCATGGGACGGCTAAGAAATGTATAAAAATTTTAACAGACGTGCTGAGCTATTGTTCGGCCAATTAGATCTTTTGTTTTTCCACGTCCTCATCGCCGTCGCCGTCGTGGTTTGTCTTAGGCCTCTAATGATTATCCACAAAACCGTAGGTTGGGAGCTACTAATAAGTGCTTTTTCGCGTGCAGTTCAAAATCACAAATTACCTTCAACCCATCTTTCTCCAGCAAGGCTTGTGATACTTCGGAAGTCCAAAATATACCGCTACATGCCAAAATGATCTACGGAAATCAAAGATTCACATAAATCCATAAATTATAGCATTTTTTATATGTACACATCTTCTTGGAGTTAACCCTACCCACTTAACTTATTATATTTACGGTCAATGCAATCAAGGCAGATTTAACAATATGAGATATTCACAGTGCAACAAAGTCAACTGATTTGAACGAAACTGCACTATTATTTTTTTCATTTAAATCTTAGACATCTCTAATTCCAGACAGAGGAGAAAATTTGTAAAGAAAACTTAGTGAAAAAACAAAGACCTGGACAATTTTCGAGTGGGAGACATGAACTCTCCCATCGATTATTGATTGGAATTACGCTGCCTTACCTGCCCAGGCCACTCTTGGACCCACTTGCCCCGGGGAGTCTGGTTATAGGCATTTACAGCATCTTCTGTGACTTTCTTGAGACTGTTGATCATGACTTCTTCAACTTGAATCAGCCACTTCTCCACCATTCCCTATGAACCAACAACAAACAACACTTTGAATTAGCTTGATAACACCCAAATTTGTATTTACAGTAACAAATCAGCGAGAAGTTGGTGAGGTATGTGCAAAATATCATGCAAAACTGATTCTGCTTTCTACATTCTAGCCCTTAAAAAGATGCGATGTATGGGACTGACAAATATTCAAGTTTCATTGAGGTTCTAGCCGGCTAATATATTAGCTTCTTGTACGTGAGTATCCATAAGAAATCTTTTGATCAGCACTTCTGTGTGTTTTCTTTACTTGTGCTCGACAAAACATTTATTGATTAAACACTACCGGATGGAATGAAGGCGTGAAAGCTGAGTGATTCGTTATGCGGTACTACGTTTTAAGTCTGTAGACGTATCATGTACGTAGTGAAGCTATTTCAAATATTAATGATTCTTCAATATACTTTCACCAATTGTATATTTTGAAAAATGTATTTTTGAAATTCATCTCTGAACTGTTCGTTTTTTTCACTTTTCCTGCGATTGTAAAGGAAATTACAACTCAACTACCACATGGCTGAGATAACTACGATGACAATGCAAATTCTTGGGCAACTGCGCAACTGCGCACCCAACCCTCCGCTAACCCAACAACAGTTAACTGATAACAATCTAAGGTTAATGTTGGGTTAGGGGAGGGGTGGGGTGCTCAGGTGCTCAGATACCGACATTGGTGCGTAACTATATACCTTAGCTTTGGCTGGGATGATTTTGGTGGAGAATGGAACAGTTTCATTCTCTGCACTGATCATTCCCACCACTTCCTGATCCTCTGTGAACTCAAGTCTTGCAATTCCTTCAAAACATTTCTTCAGATGCGGCTGTACTCGAAGAGGATCTTTGGTTTCTGATAAGATCTCCAACAACTCGTCATTTGACAAGAAGAAAAACCTGACAGCAATGAAAACACATTTATCATTAACCAATATCCGAAGGTCCGTGGTTTCAATCCTCGTGAAGACTTAGAATTTTTACTCTGTTCCACGCTCGTGGCAGAATGAATTACATAATCGTTACATCATGATGAATAAGTTGACCGTGATTTTACCTCGGAAAGAAGAGCTGTTTCTTCTCCAGATAAGCATTGAGACCCTTCTGAATCTCCTCGAGCAGTTGGTTAGCCTCGTTCAGTCTTCCCAACATGTTAGGCTGCGCCGTAGCCATAAGCACTTGTGTGTCTTTTCCCTGGTGAAAACAAAAATTCCATATCAGTGCCTCCTTGAAACCCAATTACGATATTTTACTCGTCTAGTACCTGAACTAAACTTCATAAGAAAGCACATTTTGATAAACAGTCGCAAAGCACTTGCCAATGAAATCAGAGCAGGCAATCACAACGAAATAAAGTAACAATGAACATTCAAACTGAAAATAACCAAATTGCCTGATGCGCGCTTAAAGAGAATGACACAAGTGGCTACTGGTTTGAGTTTTACATCTGATTGGCTTAGGCGACGCGAGTTCTCCAGGTTAAGTACAAGCGAAGGAAAGGAAAGTGAATGCAATTCAGGATTAATTTCCACACTTAATTGAATACTGCTCTGCGAAAGAAAAGCTACAAAGGGAAAATTCAAACCACATCAAGGACAGACTATTTCTCATACAATATATCAGTTTTAATTATTTAAATTATGCTGCAGATGCGAATCACAGTCCAAACAGACTAACTCACCGCTTCTGTCATGATGTCTTTCCAGTAGCTGTCTACAATTCCAAACTTTCTTCCCTCCTCGGGCATCTGTGCCATGATATCCTCTGAACTAAAAATCGGCTCCAAGTACAACCATGTGGCCTGACACTAGAATAAAAACAGGCACAAGAATATCAAGGATGGTTATTCAAACCACACTAAAGGGTTAACCTGGGAAGTAACTTTCTAAAACACTACAGTCCAATGCCATTTTGGTGGACTATCCGCAATGTAACTTTCTCTTAAGCTCGTACGGTGTTGTTTCAGTTTCAACGATAGAGTTAAACCTCTTGAAAATGCACCTAATGCAGCTGAAAATATTCCAAGTCAAGTCTCAACAAAGGTTAACAACAACTGGAGAAAATGTTAGAATAGAGTTGAAAAATAAAAGTTGAAAGATCTTTCCTTTAAAAATCTCACATCTACGACTTTAAATAAAAACTTTTCGTAACAATTACTTTAAATACTCATTTAGCGTTCGCCATCTCTTTAAGTTGTTACCAAATAACTTTTGGGAGTTTTAACCGTAAAGGAGTCACCGTAGGCTTGCAAGTAACCCCTACACACTCTACAGTACATTCTCATATACAACTGCCTCTAGAAGTCTGGCCATTTGTTCAATAGTCTTTAGAACTACCATAATAAAATTTGTGTGACCTCCATTAAAGCTATGCTCTCAGAAAAAGAACTGGCTTCCTGACAACTTCGGTCTCAGAAATGTAGAGTGTCCAGTTCAAAGAAGCTCTAATACAGTTACCAAAGTCAATAAAGTTATCAAAGTCGCCAAAAGATGAAGGTGGTCGTCTGTGGCAGCCATGTTTAGATAAAGCACGGCCCTGATCAATAAAATAACAAACCTTGAGCCATGCATCAATGATATCTTGCATTTCAATGAGCCTTTCGCACCATTCCTAAAAGCCAACGAGCAACAATTACGTTCAGGACTGACTTTATGAAACAGAATCTTTCGGGAATCCCAAATTTCAAGCAAAATGAGAGATCGTTTAATTGAAACATGTATCGAAGCACATATGGCATACACACTCGGACATCCTGACTGCCACCGATTTCACTCTCCCAGTTCCATCCCTCCTCCCCTTAACAGTATATTGTCAAACTTTGTACACTTTCAGAGTGTCATATCCAAAATAGGGCAACACTGAAATGGGATTGAAATGGGAGTGAAATGGAATCGAAATGGGATTGAAATGGGATAGTGGCTATTTGTGTTTGTGAATACTAGCAGGTTTCTACAAAAAGTAGAGTCAACACGATTCCAGTCATATTAATTCAGCAGATTCCTCCAATACCCTTTCAATATCCAGTGCGTATGTTCACAATGTAGTAGGAAGAGACAAGTCTGTAACGTCGCCTGAAACTAACAAACCTTGATGTCTGCCTCAAAGGGTTTGATAAATGGGGAACCACTCATGGTTTGAGCCTTGACGATATGATCATCAAGCAACAACTGAATATCATCCACAGCTGACAGGATTGACACACCCTGTAGAGAAAAAAAAAATACCCTAATGGTTATTTGAAATATTGCAGGTTGATTTCAAGTCATTTATGAAACGGCAACAACTTGCTGAAAACTAGAATTAGAACAAAGATTAAGAATGCATGAGAGATTTAAACCGTCTTTTCAATGACGGCCAACAGTAGTGCATGCTACAGCAAAATAGCTCATGCAATGGTGTTGTGAAGAGAACATATTTTTCAATATATTCTGAAGGAGATCCTTATCGATTTGAAGGAAAGCAATCAAGAGATACACCTTACTGTTCAAGTTTGCATCGAACGTAGACCTAAATATGAATAATAATATTACGAACAAAGACAAAAACGATGGCGATGAAGTCCGAGATAACATGAAACCAACCGGAAACGTCATCAAAAGAAGGAAATAAAGAGGAAGTAAAGAGGAAATAAAGAGGAAGTAAAGAGGAAATAAAGAGAAAGTAAAGAGGAAATAAAGAGGAAGTAAAGGGGAAATAAAGAGGAAATAAAGAGGAAGTAAAGAGGAAATAAAGAGAAAGTAAAGAGGAAATAAAGAGGAAGTAAAGGGGAAATAAATAGATAAAAGGATGATGAGGACGCTGCTGAGAACAAGGATGATCACGATGATAAGGCGGGAGGCGGTTAGCTCTATCCATTGAGCTAACCGCCTCCCGGTTAGCTCAATGGATAGAGCGCTGGACTGATGTGCGGGAGGTCGAGGGTTCGAGCCCCGGCCGGACCAACACTCAAGGTCTTAAAATAATTGAGAAGAATATGCCGCCTTTCTATAACATCAAGAAATGGATTAGATATTATAGTCTTCTCGGATAGGGACGAATAAATGGAGGTCCCGTCTCCTGCAGGGTTAGGGGTAGGAGACGTTAATTTCCCACGCACGAGATTACTGTGTGATGGATGTCCTCCCCTGAGGTGGGATGGTTGTTGTCTTGCGTTTCATACATGAGCCTCTGGCTCGGGAAATATGGGTAACCATGCTCCACGTAAAGACATTAAACTTTGATTACTATTACTATTACTATTATTACTATTACTATTGAAGAGAACAATAACGAGAATACTATCGATGGTGATCAGGTAGAGAAGGATGGAGTTGATGAAAACTTGGACAATATCAAAGATAAAGATAACTCACCGTGTCTCTGTAAGGAGTGAGTTCAAAGTACATATCTTTCCATTCAACCTTCATTTTCTCCATAGTTTTCTCCAAGCCAAACTCCTTACTGGCCGCGCCACTTATCTCATCAAGTCTGTAGAAGAACAATTCATCGCGATTCAGTATCACAGTTTCACCTTTTACTATCTAACATCAATATGCATATTCTCCATACTGTTCGCTATGCTTTTCCTAAAGTGCTGACAAGTAGAATTTGTTTAACAATCAGGAGCTTCTTTAATTGGTGATCATTTTCGTTATTCTCATGACGTTAATGTGTGATTCAGGGGTGAATTGTAAGGAGATATTAGAAGAAAATCACTCTAAGAGGTCAACATGTTAAACCATTGTCGGAGCTTATGAACGAGTGAATAAAGGCTGATAGTTTCGAAAGAAACTGTTTGGGGCTGCGTCGGTGGGAGTAAGGAAATAATTTGGATATATCAACAAAGTTGAAATGGTAAATTGGCCACCGTTACGATTATAAAAGCTGAGGTTTCGAACGCTGGCCCTTCGTCGGAGCGAATAGAGGAATTGTGGGTTGTGTGTGCTTTTAAAGGCAGAAAATGGAGCTACGTTATTGGTGGGAACATGGCAACGAGAAAAACGAGTTGATGAACGAGTGCTTACCGACTAAGTGTCGTAAAAGTAAAAAAATGCACACAGAGCCCATGAGAAATCAGGGCAAATACGTAGCCGGCCTAGGGCCTGTTTCTCGAGAGTCCCGGTAACTTAACGGGCCCGTAAAGCTGTTCTGTTTTCATTTAAAATGGGCATTTCAAAAGTTTTGAAAATGATACAATAAAAGTATCGGCTAAAGAAACAAAAAGGACTGGTTTGGGTGCCAGAACCTGCTTTCCTATCCTTTAAATTTTGATTTTTAAACATGGCTTCGTGCCCGTTAAGTTACCGTGACTTTCGAGAAACGGGCCCCTGGAACGAATTTCGATTGATTAAAGTTTTGCATTTAAATGATTACGCGGATCATGCGAAATTTTAAGCCCAATCGCAGAACTAAAACGATTGCAATCTCGGATTGCTTTTAACTCCCGATTGAAAATTGCTCTGGAGCTTGAACGATCGAGCAACAAGACTTACAAGTATACGATATGCATGAAATTTATGTATGAGACATGATATTACTAACAAAGTTTAACATAAACAGGTAAGCTCGTGAAGTGCCATTCGTAAACGACTCTCACAATTGAGCAGGCAAATAAACTAATACGGTCACTTGATCCTTACTTTTCAGTGAACTTGTGAAGATTGTATTCCAGCATATTACAGAGGGACGTTGTTGGCTCGGGTTTGATGTTAAACCCGACAACTTCGCTCATCTAAAAAACAACGTTACATCTTATTAGAGGCTACAGAGAAATCTAGGAGGCTGCTTAAAAGGCACCAGCTTGAGTGACTGATCCTCACACCACAAAAAGGTTACCCCAATTCCTTTCTTTTGGTCTATATTTGTTCACATAAAACTGGCACAAAATTGTCCCAAAAAGTTGGGACAAACCTTGACGGTGCATGTTTACTCGGGTTTCTCTACCAGCGCGTTACCGTTTTAATTGCCTTTCTAATTTAAACTCAATCAAGGGACGTGAAAAAATAAAAAAAAAAAATAAAAAAAATGATAATCCGTGCGACCTCTACTTTTGATCCTTCTTGTCTCCAATTGACTTCTCATCAGCTTAACATTTTGCGCACAAGCTGCCCAGGTTATAAGTTCAACTAACACACAACTTTTAAGAGCCCAAGTACTGATTTAACAGGGATTTCACGGTGTGATCCCTTTTCTTGTTAATTGTTGAAGCACTGTATTGCTGTCCCTACCTTTCCCAATCATCTCTGGTCGGAAAAGGAAGCTACGTGTACAGACGCAAAGTTTGTTACCCAAAACTTCCAACCACAAAGGAAAAATCAAATACAGAAACAATCTGTGATCAGCTAGGGAAAGATTGACGATTCTAACTCCTTGGAAAAAAAAAAGGCTGGCGAGTAAACTACACAATTCTGAGTATCTCCTTCGCAACTTATTTACAATTCCTACGTATAGAAAGCACCACGCCATCTTGCAATGTTACTGCCACGAGATAAACTGAGGTACCTGCTCCCAATGTCGTTCTCTCAATCCAGGATTACAAATGATCTGCAACAATGGAATGTGAACTTTGAACTTGTCCACCTTACTCTTGACACTGTCAGCCACTCGTCTGGGACCTGGAGCGTCACTAAATGTCTTGGTTAGTTTCAATGCTGTTCTGTACATGCCACCAATTTCCTCCTCGACCTCCTCTGCATTTATGTCCGTAAATGGACCTTTCAAGCAAAAAAAAACAATACAATAACATCAATGTCATAGTCTTGAACAAAGCGCTTTTCGTGTATCCAAAAACCAAGCCTAGATTAATTATAACGGTCAATCAGAGAGAAGCTTTATTTCACAAGGAGCTAATGAAAACACGAAATAAGTAAAAGCTAAAAAGCGCGGGAAAGTGCCAGGGTTATTCGTTCCAACAACCAAGTCTCGCGTAATCAAACAATTAATAGAGAGATTTAGCAACGCGTTTACGTGAAATGTTAATGGCCAGAGTAACCATGTAACCTTATTTTCCCGCCATTTTTTCACGTTTGTCGGTTGCGCTTTGCCGTTTCTACGTGAAAGTAACCTGTTTCGCGTTTACCGTGTTCGTAAAATTTTCTTTACTTTTTTCTCAGTTAATTGCCGGGAAAAGAGCACCAAAACTATTCTTTGTAAGTTATAATGACAAAAGCGCCTTCAAATCCACCATGAAAGGTTCACACCATTTTACGTGAAACGTGAAAGGACAAGCTGACGTTTGCTGTTTCACGTAAACGCGGTGCTAAATCTTTCTAATAAAATCGTAGCTTAACACCACAAGGAGCTAATGGGACCACGAAGTAAGCACACGCTAAAAGCGCGGGAAAATACTTTCACTGTTCAATTTGATGGTTGTACTACCAAAACCCAAACTGATCACAGTGGCCAATCACAACAAAGCAAAATTTCTCAAGAAACCAAGGAGACATTAAAGTGAAAACGTGAAAGCTTCCAAGGGCGCAACAAAATGTGCATGGCAAAGACATAGCATGTGTAAGCTTTGCATCTGATTAGTTGAAGGGTGGCGCGAGTTTCGTTGGCCAATCCCAGAGCATCCAAACGCCAAAAAGTACAGTCATGGATCACTAACGACACTCAAACCGCAACTGAAGCTTCTATTGGCCTTAAACTCATTCTACACAAAGAAGCAGCTCGGCTTATGTCCCTTTTTTTAATGAGAGTAACCATCAAATATAATAAAAACAGATTGTTACCATTCAGCCAAGCTTCATTCTTGTTGTGGAATGACAGTGTTGTCCTCCACAGTTTGTCGTAGGGTTCTTTGTATGCAACCATTGCTTGAAGTATTGGGAACTGTGTGGCCTCAAATTCCAGTAATTCTTCCTCAGTATTTAATTGCTTTGAAAAATCAAAAGATAGACACGTTATTTCCAGATACCAAACGTTAGCAAGTTTTCTAAATTTTACTGTTACTGGTTTATAAGTAAAAGACAATACCTCTGTGAAAACCCGTAATTCAAAAGAGCACACATTCGTTCCTCCAATTAATGATAAACTCTCTTCTTTGAAAGAACTTTAATTCTCACAACTGACTTCACATTCCTCCATTCGCATTCTAAAATGCAACTAACTTCAGTAACCCTTTCAGCCCCCCCCCC